TTGCGATTGCAAAATATGTCAGAATATCAGTATCTTATATTAGTAGATTTCTTTTGAATTTCTATAGCCTATAGGTGACTTCAACTATCAACATTTAGCCGATTTTGTAGCCGGGATCTCTGGCGCTAACAAACATCAAAACCAGGAGGTTCTTGAAGAAATGGATGTAAGTAGTTTAGCTATTAGTCGTCTATTACTGTGATGTTTTTTATTCTGAGATTACCGCTAACAGGATGATATTCCGTTATTAGTTATTCAGCTTTCTCATATTGGTTTCTTCGATCCAGGTTAAGAAACGTTTGGAGATGACGCTAGAATTGGTGAAAAAACAAGTACTATCAAGTGTCCCAAGGGTGGAGACAAATGACAAATCTTCACAGTCTGGTTCGCACTACTATAGGAATATTTTCAATTCTATAATGTTTAGAGGCCCAACTTTCTATAGTTCCAAGATTTATATGTCAATGACTGGAAAACAACTTGAAGCTTATAAAGTATGTTCTCTTATGCAAGAGACTTTAGGGGAAGAATTAACGCTAATAAAGACAAAATTCCAAAACGTGTATTAAAAGTCATAGAAAAAGAGCTTATAAATCTGGAGATGTCGTCGTTCATCGGATCACACGAGTTCGAGAAGACCCATGGCTACCTTGATTGGCTGACCTTGTTGCCTTGGGGAAATTTCAGGTTTGTNATTTGCTTCCTCCTCATGTCTTGAGGAGAGTTATAACAGCGTGGTTAATTGTTTTTTTTGTTTTGTTTTCGTGTGCATTGATTGAGAAGTCTTAGTTATAAGACTTCTCAATTNTCTTGACCGCAAGTTCTTTCGATTCTCTGTTGGAGGAGTATATGATGTTAACGAGATTAAGGTATACTACATGACAAAACTATAATTCAAATCTGTTAAGAAATATTTATAAATAATATTCTATTCGTTATTCTCTTATATCTTTGTTTAGGGGCATCGTCGAACATATATTGGTGCATTGCCTGGAAGGATGGTGCTAAAGAGTGTTGGAACAGAAAATCCACTTGTCTTGATAGATGAGATTGACAAGGTAGCTTAGCTCTTGTTAGTATTTGTATTCAAAATGTTTTATTAAAGCAATAACTGTCTATTGTTCCTTGGTAGATTGGAAAGGGGCATTCTGGCGATCTCGCCAGTGCGTTGTTGGAGGTTTTGGATCCAGAGCAGAATGCAAAATTTTTAGACCACTATCTCGATGTTCCTATAGACTTATCAAAGGTTTTTTCTACACTTTACAGTTTCCATATGCAATTTTCTTTCTTTGTGATCCATCAAATTTTAAGGAAAACTATGTGCTTTGATATTTCATAATAGGCAGTTTTGTGTTTGACGTAAGGTCTAAATTAATTTATCGCAGGTTTTATTTGTATGCACATCAAATGAGATAGATAAGATTTCGGGTCCTCTTCTAGACAGAANGAAGTTCATTACTCTCCCAGGATATGTTACTGATGAGAAAATGCATATTGCTAGAGACTATTTGATGAAAACCACATGCAGAGATTGTGGCATTAAGCCTGAGCAGGTCTCACTCACAACCATTGCTCCTCATTCTCCTGTCCCATTTGCTGTTTTTAGCTTATGAGAGATTATTCTCATGTTGTTTCTACTCTTACCAGGCTGTTATGAACGATTTCAGAGAACCGGGAATTAGAAATCTCAAAAAGCATATTGAGAAGATTTACCGTAAGGTAAGTAGCTACAAAGTCATATCTTTCCCGAGTCTCAAACTATTTACTACTTGAGTCCCCATGCTCTAAGATTATTATTTGACCTTTTCTTACAGATTGCTCTTAAGCTAGTACGCGAAGGAGCATCCGCGGAAGCGCCTGCAGTAGCAGTTGATGTTAGTGACACTAAATCTTTGGCCAAGACCGATTTAGAGGTTAAAAGAATAAAATTGACTGATATTAGGAAATTACTCAAAACAGGAGTTAGAAATCTCAAAAGGCAGATTGAGAAGATTTACCATAAGGTAAGTAGCTACAAAGTCACATCTTTTGCGAGTCTCAAACTATTTACTAGAGTCGCCATGATCTAAAGCTATTTGACCTTTTTTACAGATTGCTCTTAAGCTTGTACGCGAAGGAGCGTTTGATGTTAGTGACGCTAAATCTTTGGCCACAACCAATTCAGAGGTTAAAAGAATGACAGTGGCTATTATGAAGTTACTCGAAGGGGTAGCTAAAAAGGTTGTGATTGAAGAATCAAACCTTGCAGATTATGTAGGCAAATCTAAATTCTATGAACAGACACCAATCGGGGTTGTTATGGGTCTAGCTTGGACATCCTTGGGTGGCTCGATATTGTTCATAGAGACAACCTTTGTAGAAGAAGAGAAAGGCCGTACAACAACAGGTCATCTCGGGGATGTGATGAAAGAAAGCACAGAGATTGCTCACACATTGGCCAGAAGCATAATGCTCAAGAAAGAACCCGAGAATCAGTTCTTTGCGAATTCCAAGCTTCATTTGCATGTTCCTGCAGGAGCCACACCAAAAGACGGTCCAAGTGCGGGCTGCACCATGGTCACTTCCTTGCTATCACTCGCCATGAAGAAACATGTGAGGAAGGATCTGGCAATGACCGGAGAAGTGACTCTAAACGGTAGAATTCTTCGAATTGGCGGTGTAAGTCACACATGCACATTACTCTGTTTTATATTTTTTTGTTACACAATTTCTATCAATACACACTAGAATCTCGCAGGTTAAGGAGAAGATTATAGCTGCGAGACAGAGTCAACTGAAAAGGATAATATTTCCCGAGGGTAACCGTAGAGATTTTGATGAGCTCGCGGAAAACGTGAAAGAAGGGCTCGATCTTCATTTTGTCGATGAATATGAAGAGATTTTCGAGCTATGACCATTAGAAGTAGTCTCACTTTATATCTTCCTCTGTTGTTGTTTTCACGATATATTATTGATAACTTAATTCTTTAGGCTGATTTTTCTCTAACTCTTCTTACCACGAGAAGAAATATTATTGATTAACTTAAACTCTTTTTTGTAGCTTGAGATGTTCACATTCACCAACTTGTTTTCTTGTTTTACAAATTTGATAGAAAAATCTTGTAACCGGAATGAGTTCAACTTCAGTTTTGATTTAATTCAGTCAAGCCAACTTGATTGGACGTTTTTATTGGTACGATCTAACACTGAAACTCAACTCTTATTGAATAAACAAGAGAATTATAAGAACAAATCCTCAAATTCATAAGTACACTAACTCCGATCTTCGTAAGATCGATTCCAAAGCCTTATTTATAGAAGCTGAACAATCCCAAATCCCAAAATGGAAAAAAACTCTCCAAACATCGACTCCTTAGCAAAGACTCTGTATCGTAAAGAGTCTTTCTTCACTCTGCCACAAGCTTCCACGTCACCATCCTATCAAAATCAAACCTTTTGTACTACATAGAAACTGCAGTTTTGCACTCCAAATCAAACATTTTGTACATACGAAACTCATAAACAAGAAAGAAAAGAAAAAGAAATCAACTCAAACGCAGAACATGGCCTAACCGCTCGAGCGTTTCTTGCCGCTGACGCCTCCCAATATTCGCCTTCTTGATCCTCACAAGCTTATCATGAACAACCCACGCAAAGCTCAAGAAATGGTCGCGTTTCAAACCTTCATTGTAAACTCCCCAATAACTTGGATGGTACGTCACATGATACCAAGCCGAAGCCTTTGCCGGTTCATCAAACATCTCTTCCTCTTCAGCCGCTTTGAACCACGACAAAGCTTCTTTCCTCAGCGACCGAACAGCCACTCCAATCGATTCCGCATCCCGTCTCTTGGTGAACGACTTCGACATCCTCATGATACCGCCACTAAGTATCTCAGCCTCGGTCTTAATCCCATAATAGTCCATCAGGTTACCTAATTTGTAATCGTAGTTTCCCTTGTGGAAGAAGGCTTCATCAATATACTCCTCAAATCCGTCAACTTCCATATCTTTATCATAAGACTTCGAGGCCACATCAAGCGTAAACGATCTGATCGAGATCAACGGTGGAGCTCGCTCTTTTACCTCTCTAAAAAGCTTACCAATCACGTTTGTCGACTCATACGTTGGTTTATCCGGTTTCTCCATGAAATCCGGATACTCTTTCACATAAAGATGCTGCGGTATCTCAGCTGCAACACCGGTTTTTGGGAAATCCACCGCGATTGAGAACTTCCGTGCAAGCTCAATGCATGGATCACTAAACGCCTTTAGTGGTTCTTTATCTGCAAAGGCGGTATGAGCATTCGCAATGATTCCTAGACTATAATTGACAATGTAGTTGGTGAAGTATTCTTCAATTTCCTGGAAACCGATTTAGTAAATCAAAAATCAATCTCCCAATGCAAAAATTAACTAATATAACCAAGTGGTCAAAATTTTGATATTTACCTCAATTGTGACATCATGATCCAAGATCTGAGGTGGTTCAGGAGTGTAGTCCATTGGTTCAGACGTTGTTGGTGGAATCAATTCAGAATCCCAACATACAAAGTATATATCTCCATCTAAATCACTCCCGGAACACTCATTTGGATGCGGCCTATGCACAAAACAACATCAGATTCCAATCAAAGTCGGAAACTTTAACAGAGAAAGCTTGTAAGAAATATCAAAATCAAGATTAGAAAAGTGTTTACCTCAAACCCTTCTGCGGGAAAACAACGCTGTCTACCATATGAATCAAAGCTGGGACCTTGACAGCTTGAAGAACACGCACGTCACCAGGATGCAGACACGGGTTTTTCGCAACAACAACAGGTCCTGTGATGTTGTATCGATTTCCCGGCCTAGTGGGATCTGAATACTGCACGACCACCTGACCGTATTCCAATGTTCTGGTCTCGTCTAGGCATCCCATCATTGATCTTCCACGAGGAATGAAAATCCGTGTCTTCGTCCGTAGTTCCAACAACTTAGATGCCCTGAAATTCTGAAGCATCATCGAGAGAAAAGGCTCTGCGTCGGGTTTATAACCACACAAGATTAATTCCTTGAGAATATTTGTGTTCTCTCCTGGAGCCATTAAACCAAGAGCCTCGTGAGCCTCCAAAGGATCAGTTAAGATTGCGTCGAGCTTTTCAACAACTTCTCTCTGTTTCTTCTCAAAGACACCGTCTCTAACTCCGAGAGTAGACAAAAGGCTAATTAGTTGTCTGTTCAGATAACAAGGTTGGTACTTGCTCCATGCCAAAACATCAAGCTTCGTGTTCCTGGACTCGAATTTACTCATACTCTTCCTCAAAGACAGTTTCTTTGACGAGGTAGGATCCACAGCCACCACCCCTTTATACCCGCCATAGCGGATTTGAAAAGCAGACGGAGAAAACTCTGTGAGGCCACATTTCTTGGCCACCCGTCTAGCAAATTCGGCTGAGATCTTTCCTATTCCATCAGAAAACACATAGCGTGTCCCTAAGGAATTGATCTCAACATCAGGAATCACTTCAATCTCATCTCTGCCAACATTAAGTGTCTCTCTGGAGGAGCTAAACGACTGGCCGAGCCTTGCAGCGTATTTTGCTACATTTCTTATATGTTCGAAATCACCCATCCAAGCTCTGATATCTGCTGCCGTAAGCCCATCTCTTGGAGCAAACATCCAAGCGGAGTTCTCACGCAATTGGCTGGAAGAAAAGGCGAGAAACTCAAACTTCTTATCCCCAATGACAATCCCATCACGAAGAACAGAGTAAATCCTGTCGTACAACTTGGTCCTTCTTTGAGTAGAAGAGCGTGGAGACAGATCCATGGAACGGACCTTTTCAAGATCTTCATCAACAAATGATATCCTGAGGAAATTGTTGATATAGTTGGAGTAATGTCGCAGCACACGATTGGAAACATTCACCTCTGGTCCAGAGAAATAAACTCTTGTTGGTGTAACCTGGACGCGATACATATAAACAAGTCCATCGTCCGGAGATATCAAAGGAGACCGTGGAAGCTTTCCTTTCGCGATCCATGTTTTGTACTCTTGGCGGAGCCATCGAGCAGGCTCATAGCAACATTCCTTGAGATAAAAGAGTTTCTCAAGAGAGTGATCTATGAGAGCTCTCTCATATCTTCTTGGATCAAGCAGTTGATAGAAGTCACGATCAAGAGCTGGCCCGGGGAGACACGCGTTCTGCACCAATGTATTAACTTTGAACAAGATCTCAAACGGCAAGTAAAACCCTGGAGGAGGATCAACAATAGGGACAAGCTTGTTTGCATTTGACGAATAGCTAGACCCGGATTCAAGGAGAAAGTTGCCGGAGATATGCTCTGAGTAGTTGGCGAAGTTCTCTCTGAAATCAGGAACATTGAGATGATGAGGAAGCTCTAAACAGAACGCTGATGATTGAGCGATACAAGAAGACGAAGTGAAATCCGTAGTTCTTATCCATTGCTCATCAGATCCATCACGGTAGAAATCAAGCATTCCAAACAAAAGGTTGGCGGGTGAATCCTCTTTCTCAAAGATTTTAGGAGCACCAATCACCTGGATCACAAGAAACTTCGCCGATCTTCCCTGAGGCGAATGCAAATCGATCTGCCATATGTTCTCATAAGGAAGCTCGAGCCGATACTCCTTCTCATACCAAGACATCGAGAAATGAAGCTTCCGCATCCCAGTTCCAAACGAGACACAAACATTCTGAACACTCCATAGAACAGAAAACTTCTTTGGTGAGACCTGACATCCAAAATACATCTTCAAATCGGAGATGTTGTGCAACGAAGCTCGAGGTCTCGGAACAATGTCTTGCTCAACTTCAAAAGCCTTGAGATAAGATCTCCCGTAATAGAGACGATCTCCAGTAAGCGTGATGATAAGCCTCGCATGTCTCTCAGCTGTGAATTGGACAATGGCATAGACTCTCGGACCGCCTTTCTTAGGTTGTCGAACTTTGATTGCGTAAATCGTGCCTGAACCAGTGATCCTTTCGAGAAAACTCTTGACTTCCTCTGCGCTCACACCACCAGGGAATCCAAACACTTGAATCGTCTTCCCCATTTTCTCATATACAAATTCCTCTAACCTAAACCCAACAAGTAAGTAAATCAGAAGAATCTAAGATCACTGAAACAAAGAACACGAACTACGGAAAGATGGGTTTAGAGAAACACGACAAAAGATGACTAACCGCACAAAAAGGCCGCGACTTTCAGAGAAAAAGACGGCGCTGATTGATCTCCGATCACCGAAGTCCGATGTATCGCCGATTAAGAAGAAGAAGATGAGTGATCTTTTATTTTTCTACTCAGTTTCCGATGATTATGATCGCCTTTGGATTCTCACTTATAAAGAAGAGTCAGTCACTGAGAGAGTCTGTGACTAAAAAG